CCTGCTTCTCCCCCCAGGGTTGGTGGGACACGACCCCGTGGTGGTCACCTTACCATGGGTGACGGATTGCAGCTGCACCGTCTTGGGGATGCGTTCCTCCTGGCTGGGTTGCGAGGATTTGCGGCTCACCTTGGACTTGAAGAGGGTGTTCACCATCGTCGACTTCCCCAGCCCGCTCTGCCCTGCGGGAATGTCGGCAACTCCGGTTTGTGTTCCCCCCACCCCTGATAAATTAATTCGCCCCCAATAAATTTATTCCCCAGGACGATAACACCTTGGTACCCATTTGGGAGCATCCCAGAGGTTGGAATAGCTCCAGTTTATCCCCCAATAAATTTATTCCCCAGGGTGATAACCCCTTGGTACCCACTCAGGAGCATCCTAGAGGCTGGAATAGCTCTGGTTCATCCCACCCCAATAAATTTATTCCCCAGGATTATAATTCCTTGGTACCCATTCGGGAGCATCCTGGAGGCTGGAATAGCTCCGGGTTATCCCCCAATAAATTTATTCCCCAGGATCATAACCTATTGGTACCCATTCGGGAGCATCCCGGAGGCTGGAATAGCTCCGGTTTATCCCCCAGCAAATTTATTCCCCAAGGTGATAACGCCTTGGTACTCATTTGGGAGCGTCCCAGAGGCTGGAATAGTTCTGTTTTATCCCCCAGTAAATTTATTCCCAGGATTATAACCCCTTGGTACCCATTCAGGAGCATGCCAGAGGCTGGAATAGTTCCGGTTTATCCCCCAATAAATTTATTCCCCAGGGTGATAACCCCTTGCTACCCACTCGGGACCATCCCCGAGGTTGGAATAGCTCTGGTTTATCCCCCAATAAATTTATTCCCCAGGATTATAACCCCTTGGTACCCATTTGGGAGCATCGCGGTGGCTGGGATGAGCTCACCCATCAGCACTGCTACATTGTCGGGTAGGGGATGGTGCTCCTCCTCAATTTATTGCTCCTTAAATCCCTTAAAACCCCTTAAAAAGCAGGATCTCCCCTGCCACAGCGGCACCAGAGCCTGGATTCCCACCCCATCCGGGAGCAAACCCCGCGGCTGGCGCTCACCCACGACCATGATGTTGAACTCAAAGCCCATCTTCATGGTTTTGATTTTCATCTGGTCAAGCACGGCTTCGATTCCCACGTAACCAAAGAGCTGTCGTCCCGCCGGGCCAGACGCCGCGGTGAGGGGCATCTCCTCCTCCTCCTCCTCCTCCTCCGGCACCGCCGGCGGCTCCATGCTGCGCTCCTGGGGCTCCAGGCTGCTC